ACATTATAAGATGCAGAGCACACATTGTACGGGATGTTCAGCTTATATTGTGCTGGGTTCTTTCCCCTCTTGTTATTTCAATCTTCAGAAATCTACTTGAGAAGTCACTATGCTGAGGAAGATACATTAATTTAATCCTTAGTTTCTTGCATGAAGCTCAAATTAAGGATGAAAGTCTATATCAAATTAAGTTTTGTATAACTTGTGAATTAAGTAGAGTATTAGTTACTGTTTGGTACAGAAGATTAGACTAAAATTTAAATATTATAGTTCAGGTTTCTTACCTGTTCTTCTAAATAGTATCCAATATAATAACTGAAATTCAAAGATGTTAACAATTTTAAGAAAAAAAACCAAACCATAAAATAACCCTGGTGACTTGGTTGTTGTGAAAATTGTGGATAGGCTAACTAGGAAATACTACAGAACAGAGCTATTAAATGTTAAAGATCACTTAGGAAGGAAAAATACAAAATTTTAAGCTGTAGCGTAAACATTACTGGCTTGTCTGTTTTCTCAGTTCAGCAACTGACACATTCACAAACAGCATCTGGATTGTCTCTGTAGCTACCATGCAGCAGGATGGCCCTGTCTGGTGGTACGCTATTGAATTACATCAGTTTCATTTACTGACAAGCTAGTTCCAAAAGACTTAGAGCTTGAATGCCATTTTATGCAAACAGCTAAGCAGTACTTGAAGATGCAAAGACTGGGCTGCCCCTGGCTCTACAGCCTAATGGCCAGTGGTTCATGTGCTTGTAAATCTTGCCTTTGCTGAGCTTTGTTCATTATTAATATGATCAAGTATATGCAGAAAACACTAAAAATGTAATCAAGGTATGTGCTTCTATGTAATTTTATGGACTATAACAAAAAAATTCTTAAATTTTTAAATGGGTCAGTAAGGTTCGCATTTATGCCTGCTGAGGTATGCAACCCTGATATGTTTCTCATCTTGTGCATATATTGACGTTCAGGTACCAAAGAGTTGCTTTCTAGAGTATCTGCCCACTACTGGAATTGTGAATGACAGTGGAAAAATTGTTGTCACTTGTCAGCATAGTAACAGGTTTCCGTGATGGTTTCCAGGCTCTGATTCCTTTGCAAAAAGGCATGTGTCTCACTTGTTGTACAGCACTGTGCAACATAACAGGTGCATTTGAGACTTTCATGTACAATTGAAAAATTCTTATTAGGAGTCACTGTTGGTTTGGTTTTAGTATTAATCAGTGACAATCCACCAAATATAATAACACATGCAGTTAAATGTAGTATAATGTGAGATAGTTAAGCAAATGAACCAGGTCTACATTTTCATCAGCTTATGCACATGATTTGGAAATGTATTAAAGTGGCTTTGACTGTGGTTGATGTCTTGAGTCAAGTTAATAGAACTTTTTCAGAACTTCGTTAATGCTGGTGGTTAGATTACAAGTGAATGGAACTATAAATTTGAACCCACAACTTTATATTGTAAGTTATAAATCAAATTTCAATTACTGTAATTCTGTATACATTTATTTTATGTCTAGCCCTAGTATTATATACAGTATTTTCCCAGTTTGAGACTATAGAGACATATAGGTGTGCTAAAACCTGCAAGACAGTTCATGCTCTAGTATTTGGTTCTAATGTAAGATAATAGGAAGGGCAATTCTATTGGAATAATTAGGGTAATTATTTTTCTCAGCCTTTATCTGGTGAAAGTATGTGAAACACTGCCTAGTTATTTTTCTTGTTCAAAAATAGATGTTCCTACATCACAAACTTCAGTAACAACTTTTTATTTTCAAAATGGGGAGATTATTTTCCTTAGTTATTATGTCCCTGCAGATTGCTGGCATGTGATGTGCTGAAAGATTTTTACATACACTGCCAGCAGCAGTCTGTAAGTTTGCTGCCTTACAGGTTGGCATAAATATGACAAAAAGAAATGACTTTGTCTGTGGGGATGTAGAGATGTGTTATGTGTTAGTTGAATTGCAAGGCTGCTTTCCTTGTGGTTGATCCTGGATCCCATCAGAGAGCTGCAGCTGTTCTTAACCCATATTAAGTTTTCTCTCTCTTAATTTTTTTTTGTAGCAGACTTGATGTTATGGGAACTCTTCAATAAAGTCATTCTCTTGGGGGAAAATAACATTATACATCATGCTAAAAAATGGCTATTGTCTTTTTGATGCCAATTTAGAAATTACTTTAAAAATGTGTAGTAACATCTGGTTTTATTACTTGATGCATAGGCTCACTGTGATCTTTGTGTCTCATTTGCTCAATTCACATTCTAAGTCCCATGCTTCTTACCTCACATTGGGTATAAATGTTATATTTAAAGGTACTAACAGGTTCTTTTCAAGAAAATTCAACTTGCTAAATTTTTGCTGGAGCATATGCTTATTTGCTTTTATTTTTTACAGCAAAACTTCATATGATTAAATTGTCTTAGTTTAAAAAAAAGTGATAGCCATATTGTATCTATTGGTAAAATGCATCTTGCAGTTTTTGCATATTCTTCATACATTACTTTGTCTTCAATAAATATTATATAATTCTTAGTTCTATTGTGGACAAAAGCTTTCAAGCATGTAATGAATCAAGTAATGTGGCAATGAATGGACAGACCCTACTGTTATCACCTGTTGAGGACACTGTATTGTGTGAGCCTCTTGAAGATAATATCCTACCCAGGACACTTTTCTCAATAGCTTGAGAACTTGACAGTCTCAATGAAAACACTTTTTTCCTTTAGCTCTCAAGAACTGCCTCCCTCCGCTGTGTGATTGTTGTAGTGGTTCAGCTATTTAATTTTCCTCTGAATTTATAACTGGTTTTTACTCAATCTGTTTGCTATACACAGAATTTGTCTTTCTGTTGTGCCAATTGTATGTAGATTCAATGCCAAAGTACCCCACTTCAAACAATTCAGTTTAACCTCATTGTGTTAATCAGGAGACACTGTCTGTTAGCAGGAGCACATAACTGACGCCTAAGATATAAAAAATTTTAATGGTTGAATATAGCAAGATTTTGGGACACGTGTACACAATTTTTCTGCCATCTGGTCCCTGGGCCCATTTTCTGACATCTACTTCATCCATAATGCTCCATAGCATTCTTTTGTTGTGTGGTTTGGTTTTTTTTTTTTTTTAAATCTTGGAAATGGTGGGTGAAGGGTCTTTATTAACTTTTTTCCTTTGTGTTAGCGGTCTTTGAAGAACAATTTGTAAACCCACTGTGCCTTTAAAGGGAAGGATATAATTGTGTGACAAGTAGCCAGAGAGATTCTTGGAGTAGGTTGCCATGTTAATTAGGGCTTAAAAGTGGTGGCAAGAACAAGAAGCTGATCTGTGAGTAGCTCCAAGACACAGCTCTAGACCTGCCGATGTGTGTTCGTGCAATGCTGTGCCCAAACCAGTCAGTCCTCTAAACTCAGCATACTGGGAAGCAGAGTGATGAGATGCTCAGCAGGCTGCAGTGGAGCCAGTTTGGGTTGAGTTTATTTATTAATTCTCTCTGTGTGCCAGACCTAGGCTAGCTTCAGCCGGAGTTGCTCAGTTTGCTCTGTTCTGGGCTTCCAGTAAAGTGAAAGCTATCCGTAGAGACTGAGCTGGCTTTGTCTGAAGCCAGTTTAGGTCTGATGTGTTACCAGCTCTGGCTCTCTGCCATGTGAAAGCAGATGGATTGTTTCCAGCCATAAATTATCTTTGGAAGCTGCATAGGTGTATTTATGTAGTTCTGCACCTGAGCTAGTAAGTCCAGCTGGATTAAAGCTTATTTTTGTATGGAGCCAGCACAGTGCTTGCATCTTGTCATAATTAATGAGAAATTTGCTAGAAATATATGTAGATAACTGGGAATTTACTATATTTGACTTCTCTCTATATATTCTCTCTATGTATTCTGGTGTTTAATGCAGTTATACTCTCATATACTCTGACGTTACAAGTCTGATCAAACTGTAATCACCTAAATTTAGATAATTACAATTATTGTCATATTACAGCTGCTTAATTAGTTAGTTGGGTTTTTTTCCTTTTTTTCCTAACTGGATAATGCATTTCAGCTTAACTAGTGCTTGGTTAGACCTCTTCTGACTGTTTCATCTGCTTACTTGCCATTGAGGAAAAATGTCAACAAATGGGAGGCATAGTAATATAATGACTTTTGTACGTGTGCAGAAGGGATCACCAGCATGGTTCCCTGTCCAAGAAAACTTTTATCCAATAAACGTGCACTGTACCATTTGACCACAGCTGTATGTCCCAAAGCACATTGCAGGAATGGAAAAGAGCGTGGGAGAAAAACAGCAAGTGTGTAAGTGTTCCTGCAGAGTAAGAGTAGCACTGGTGACCTATTTGTCTTCGTCTTCAACAGGTTTCAGGGAACAGTTACAGTAAGCCCAAAGGCAATAAATGGTTGGTTGCTGGAGGTTTTTTTATTTTCTTAAAGACAAACCTTTTAAAATTACAGGAATTTTTATTAGGAATCCAATGAGCAGCCCCATGTCAAAAATCATAGGTAAATTCCTGTATTCCTTTGACAAAAGGCTAAATCAGATGGATTAAATAGAAGATTATGTCATGCAAAGGAGTTACTATGGCATTTACTAAAGATGTTCTCAGTTTGAAGAGAGTTGCGAGGATCATTCTTGTGAGAATGATTAGTAAGTGGGTTCTTTGATAGAGAATTGCAGAATCTGGATAAAGATGATAAGTCAGAGGGAGTCTCACTATTTCTTCTCACTATTTCTGTTTCTTCTTTCTGTACTTTTTTTGTTTTATGAATTCATGCAGTAGAAATTTCAGGAAAGTTGTGAGAAAAACTGCTGACATTTTTGAATTTTCGTGTGAATCTCACTCTTTAAAAAATAAAAATTAAAAAAAAAGACAGACACACTGTCATATGCATTTTTTTTATTTGACTGTGGTGATGTAAAATAATGACAGAGTTTCCTCATAGTGATACCTGTATTTTGACTTTTCCCAATCTTAATATTTCTTTAGGTTGTGGAGAGCATCTTGTCCGAACCATACTGGCCAGAGAATGTTCATGGGCTTTGCAAACAGAAGATGCCCACCAAGCTCTCCTAGAGACTATGCAAAACAAGTTTATAGGTAAGGTTATGGTGCTAATTGCCTAAACATTGCATAACATTGTTTAAAATGCAATTAACCCTATTAAATAAAATTAAGATACCTTTTTTGTGATATCTGTTGAAACCTTATGTTGCAGTTGGCTTCAAATTCAGTGTTGTGTTACATATAAAAAATGTTAAATCAAACTACAGAATAATATTTTAGGAAATCTAAAGGAAAACACTTGGGAAATATTGCAATTGTTATGTGAGTCACAGAATACCTGGAGAGGTTTGAAGAAAGAATTTCCTGCCTGAATCACTGGCTGTGGTGTACAATTGCATATTTTAGAATTGGTGGATTCTAGAGCACTAATAAAAATTATTAATCATGTTAATCCTTTTAAATATAGTAGACTTCAAAACTACTGCATGTTCTAATTGAATGCTTTGGACAGACAGATTCTGGTTTGCTATTCACATGATGAAATTAATTTATTGAAAAAGTGAAGTAGACTTAATTCAAGACTATAAGGTAAAACCAATTTTTTTCCTTTATGTGAGAGGATTACACATGACTACTTATACCTGTTTAATTTCTTGTGAATACAGATCTTGTTTTCTTTCTTCAAGTCATAACCAAAATATGAGTGTGTGTTGTGGTTTTGTGTGGTGGGTTTGTTTTTTAGCAGGGGAGGGGCCACAGTAATGGCTCCTGTAAGTAACTGCCAAAGGTTTCCCCTGACTCCAAGTCTGTTCTGGCAGCAAGGGAGGGGCTACAGTGGTGGTTCCTGTAAGTGACTGCTAAGAGTTCCCCCCTCACCCTGGCTCCAAGCCTTTGGAGCCTGGGCTGGGGTGGGAGTACTACCAAGATGGCCCCTGTGAGAAACTGCTGGAAGTTTCCCCAGCTTCAGGCTGGACCCACCCTGGCCAGGGCTGAGCCAGTCAGCGCCTCTGTGAATGACATATTTAAGAGGGGGCACAGAAGATGGTGTTGGCCTGACCGTCCAGCTGCCTTCCTGGCTTTCTTTGTAACCTGACCTGCCATAGCCCAAGTCTCCGCCATGGCTCGCCTGAGAGCCAGTTTTCTCAGGAGCTGGTGAAAGAACCTGTGGTGGAGAGAGAAGTGGGATATGAGAGAGACAACTATGCAGACATGAAGGTCGGTGAAGAGAAAGGAGAGGAAGGAGGTGCCCCAGAACAGAGTACCATGCCGGGTGGTGAAGAATAATGTTGATGCACGTTGGTCCCTCATGCAGCCCATGAAAAGAAGAGCTCATTTGTAGCTCATGGAGATGTAGCTGTGGCGGACTCCACATTGGAAGAAGTAGCTGTGCCCGAAGGAGGCTGTGAATTTTGGAGAAACCCATGCCAGAGCTGAGCCATTGTGAGAGGACTGTGACCCCATGTGGGAAGGACTCTCCTGTGAGAAGGGACCCCATGCTGGAGCAGGGAAAGACTGTGAGGAGCCCTTCCCTGAGGAGAAAGAAGCGGTAGAGACAACATGGCCTGACTGCAACTCCCATTCCCTGCACCCCTGCACCGCCAGGGGTGAAGAAGGTACAGAAACAAGGAACAAAGCTTTTGGGCCTGGAAGAAGGGAGCGGTTGGGGAGAAGTGCCTTTCTAAGATGTAGTTCTTTTTCTCATTATCTTGCTTTGATTTTGATCATAAATAGTTAATACATTTAATTGAGGGTTTTTTTTGTGTTTTCCCAAGTTGTGTTGGTTTCTTGCCCATGACCATGAGTGGTGAGTGAACCCTCCCTGTCCTTGCCTCAGCCTACGAGGTTTTTAATAAGAGGCTGTGTGGTGGCTTTTAAAACCACGACAATGTAGTATTATAAAATATCTATATAAGCTTGAACTTTTGAAGATAGTGTAGATTCCAATGAGGCTTTGGGCATATATGTTGAATTGCACTGTCTTTATAGCCCTTAAAATTTTTAAAGCTTTAGAATCCACAGACAATTTTGAGCTTCAAAATTTCTTGTGGGAAATGTATCACTTCTTGTATGCTGTGTTGCCAAAGTTCATTTTTATGGTATTTTAATTAGAACTGAAAGAGGGGTATATGCCTACCTTTTTGGGACCCAGGAACCATTGCCCTTGGTCTTGGCAAGCAATGCTTTGCAACTTCTTTATTTCTGTTTATAATATTGAATCTGTATTAAACTCTACTTCTGACAACATTACATTTGACTGTTTGAGGGGAAGTCACATTCACATTGGAAGGCTGCACTTGATAATCTACTTCTGTATTGCATTTCTAGGTGCTGTAAGAATGCAGAACAAAGTAATCCCAGTATGTTTCCCAAAAAGGTTATAATCCAAGCAGCACAAATGTAATTTTTTTTTTTGTTTAATCACTTATTCCAGTACATAGTGGCACAAAATTAGAGAATTATTTACCCAAGAGAAGCTTTTAGGATGGATGCTTGTGATAGCTTTGCTAATTTGTAACACTGCTCTGGTGTTGTACAGAAGTGTCAGATCTTTACACCGTAGTCTCAAAATTTCTTGTGTTGTATGTGGTAGAGTACTGAAAACATGAATTACACTTAAAACAATAGGCTTGTACTATATAGGGGATTTTTCCTGGGAATTTTCATAGATGATGTACTAGTGATATTTCAGGATGTATGGTATGATGCAAGATTTCTTACTGTTGTGAAACAATAGGGTAAAATGGGTTAATAGCCTACTTGCTGATGGCATGGGTTCTTTTCTTGCTAGCCTTTCTTAAAGCCCTGTTTTGTGGTTGTGTCAAACTTTCACCAGAATTATAATGGACCAAGGCCAAAAAAAAAAAAGGCTTTAACAAAGCAGAGCTAGGATGTTTTGTCAGAAGTCAAAATGTTCATTACTTGTATTGGAGGGATGAACAGCTGATTTTGGCAGTTGCCATCAGATTAGTGCTTCCTGTTTACAGAACTCTGAGTCTCCCCAGAGCCCTGGGAACCTTTCCAGCTAGGGAATGCCTGGCTTAAACAGTGAGTGCTGTTTAAACAGCAGGTGATGAGTAAACTAATGGCAGATGTGCTTCTCTCAGCCTTTCTCAGAGCCAACTTACTATGGATAATGCACAATTGATGGTTGAATTGAAGGTGAGAGAAATTAAATGTAGATTTTTTGTAAATCTAATGGGCTTGATATCTTTAATCGAAGAGCACTGAAGGCTTGGTATGCAGTCAGAGAGTGGTGTTCTGTAAACAAAAATACCTTCCAAACAGAAGAACAGAGGATTTTGTTACTCATCATTCCTTTCAAATGTGGCCAAGTTTGTGGAATGTAGACTTAGAGTAAATGTTTGTGTCATCTCACTGGCGGGAAATCTGAGCTTTTAACAATGGCAATGCTACGTATCGTACTTTAAAGCTTCTTATAAAGTGTTAGAAAATAATGAGCTGCAAGACATAGGTGGAGTCTGATTGTTCTTTCCTTAGCAGAAATACATTTGTCTAGTCTTGTGTTTTTAAGCTGTGCTTCAGTTCACAAATGAGCAATGTCTGCAGAAAGGTAATAGCAGAAAGATAATGCTGACACTTTCCCTTTTAGAAATTTTGTTTCAAATACCTCTCTTGGGAGCAGGCGTTTGGATAGTTAGGAATCATAGAATACGAATTTCCCAATTATGAGTTATGCTTGTTAGGGGGAAAAAAGCCTCATACTTAAACAGTTACAGGACTGCCAGTGACTGTCCTTGCACAGTGTTACTGTTACTTTATATTTTGGCATTGCATCACTCTCAGCTTGTAGTATCCTTTGTGGCTTTATAGTGAAGGATGCATGCTATGGAAGCATTACTATGTCTTCTCCCTGACACGGAAGAAAAGACTTGAGAATGAAGTGATCCCGAACTTTCATATAACCTATTTTAACCACCACAAGTTTGCAATTTCACAAGTTTGTATTTGATGGTAGACAGAATTGAGGAGGCCTGTTTTTTACCTGTACAATAAAACGATCTGAAAAAAATAACACAATGTGGTGATGTTACACAAGGGTTTGTCTAGGTCCTGTCCTTCTTATCAAAAGCATTGGGATTCTAATGGGCAGCAGTATCCTCGTAAAGGATTTTGTAAAACCTGGCCTGTAAAGTTTGAAGGTACAGGTGTTTTTCCTTGCAGCTTCTTTAAAAATTCTAAACAGATGTTTTAAATTACTTACAAAGATTTCTGGTTTCAGACAGCTTGCACTTAAACATTTAACAAGTAATGGTGCATGAAATTAAAAGCAGGCTTCATTTAATGTTTATACATTCATCTAATGTTTATTTAAATTGTTAGCTTGGAGTTTAGTGGGGTACATAGCAGAGTGGCAAACAGCTTCACTTTAAACGTGTTCTGTACACAAACTGACAAAGGACAGTGGTGCAGGTGATCTATAGATGATTCTTCTGAAAAAATCTGAATTTCACTCAGATCACAGCATGAAAAGATTTTGAACTGTTTAGCTGCACTCCGTTATAACTGGGGGATGCTAAAGCACTTAGTTACACTATGCCACAGTCAGTATTTAGACCAAAGTTCTGCAGACTTTGAAATCTAGTGTAAACAATGAAGCTGGTAATAGTTTCTCTGCTATGGAAGAGTCTAAGTGTAAAACATCTGATGAACAGTTGGTTAGTCCTTCAACTGGGTAAGTGCAAATGAAACACTTCTTTTACAGTTAGCATCAAGTCTGTGCTAGGCTGGATCTGTCCAGTAGCTGCAAATGGGAAAAAAGCACACAGGATCAGAAATTAACAACTCTTACCAATCGCATGCTTTGGGTTAGGCAACCTTCATCATGGGAGTAGTTTAATTTACAAGAGTAAATGTCTAGAATCTTGCTTACATAGACCTACTCTGTGTTAAAATACACTCTTTAGCATAATTGTAATCCTCAGCAGTAAGTCTGCATATCCAGAAATATCTTTGTTTAAAAAAAAAATAATAGATTTGAATCCCTCTTTTAACTTTTTTTTTTAATTGCTTTAACTGGAAAATAAAATACATTCTCTGTTTTAAAACATGTGCTGTTCAGTGTATATTTAATTTGGCTTAGAGACTGATTTTTAGGGGAGGAGAAACAGTCCTTCTGAATTTACTGTAGTGTACAATACAGCAATGTTATTACTGTAGGCAACTGGTTTTTACTGACACTATTTAGAGGCTGATTCCCCACAACTTATCCGGTGCAGTGATCTGGAGGCATGCACTATATTGCTGCCGATTTTGCACTGAGATGGTTTAGCTGAAATTGCTGGTGAAAGCAATTGGAATCGATGAGGGTGCAGTCATGCAGTTTGCTTCTGATGACTCTGTGGATGGCAACCTCCAACAGAAGTGGTAAAACAGATAACCTATGGAAGTGGCGTGGGTGAGAAGATCATGAACCATTGCAGGGGTTTTGCAAGTGACTGTGTGTTTGTGTCTTCATTTGCTGTTTGTGTTTGGAAGTGAGAGGAAGTGATTAAGTTCTTGTTTCAGACTTTTTCTCCTTTCCAGAATAATGTTCATTCTGCAGCTGATGATAAAATGGTGTAGAAGATTAAAAGTTGGCTCTGCATTGTTATTGAAAAAAAAATAATCTTCAGTAGCCTAGCTGACAACACTAAATCTCAGTAATTTCTTGAGTTGCAACCGTATGTTGGCTCAATCTTTATTGCTACAGCTCCAAACTGTGTCTGGCTGCAACAAGAAAGACAACATGATCCCACCATTTTCATTGTTATGTTGTATTATGTTGGTCAAGGTGCTACGAATGTGAGAATAGCCTGTAGGTTCTGGGTTTTGATGTTGTGCACCACTGGGTAGAAAATGCTATGTTTTTGTATTTAGGAGAGGTAATGCATCCCATCTTCTTTGCTTTGTTTGCATAACACAAACTTTTAAGGCATTTCCTGGTTTAATACTCCATTCAAATTACCCACTACAAGTCATCAAAGCCATTTTACTCATCTCTGTGTAACCCTAGTACTACTGTTATGGTCAATTCTTGCAAAGTTAGTGCAGACCAAGGTCCAACGAGACCTGGTCTCGTTTGGTGTAACCAACATTTGTTCTTACTCCAAGGGCCCAACTCATGGTGTTCTTAAAGAAGTCAGCTTCTTGCTTCTTCGGAGTGTTTTATGAGTGCTGAAGTTAAAACGATACTTTATCATGCTTTTATCATGCTTTTACCATACACAGCACTATTAAATTAATCTTCTTCTTGAGTCTTCTAGTTGAAATAACAGATGTACTTCAGGAAAGGCTGAATTAATGCAGTCAGTTTTCTAGCTTTTGAGTGTTTAGCATGGACTTCAAAGCCTTTGAATTTTGTGGACTGGTGATAAAGCTTCCATGGCGCATAATCATTGAAGGAATTAACTTGGTTCAGAAAACAATTGTGTACAGATTTAGGGCAGTACGATGGACAGCATGTTTGAAGTCAATAACTAAATGCTACATATGCTGGCAGAACTGGGATTCTCGTGAGCATAGTTGTGCATGTATAGGTAGAGCATCTCTTTGGATGAAATTGTAAGCTTAAGAGTTTGTTTTACGTGCTTGAAACTCAAGTTTTAAATTATTTTTTTAAACTTCTTTTTAAAAAATGTCTCACAAAACACATATTTTGAGTGATTACTTTTCTTATTCTGTACTCCACTGAAGAATATGAATGCTTTGTTCTTGCCAAAAAATCCCTGTAAAAATGAAAGAATTCTGATGAAAATGTGGCATTACATGTTTTGCTGCAGACTCTTTACATGGAAAGAAATATACTGCCAAGTCCTCTCTTAAAGTTTAGGAAGAGAGAGCCTAGCACGTGCAAGTTATTCAGATTATTGAAAATTTGATCAGTGATGATGGCACATAGTTGACAGAATCACTGTGAAAATTAAGAAATATGTGATTCGTTTATTTACAGATTTTTCTTTCTTCTACTCTTTCCTAAGTGTAGGAGAAAGAAAAACACAAAAAAAGTGATTAACCCAGTGTAAGCATTTCTAGAAGACTTTAGTGGCTTCAAGTCTATAATCAGTAGTTGCTGTCTGGTTTTTATGTGCATTCATACGGTCTTAGTGTTTTAGTAGGGCCTTAAATATGCTGTCTGATTTAAATACTATTTTCTGGCTGTATTCTGCTGAAGTAGAACATTTTTAGCCATGCTAATTAAAGAGATTATTAGTATTTTTCACTAGAACTTTGAAAGAAACTTTCAAGGGCCTTGAAAGAGATTAAAGGTTGTATGACCTCTATGAAGAAAACCACTTTTTGTTCGTTTGCTTGCAGAAATCATACCACTTACTTAGCCAGCACTTGGTTAATGCCATGGAAGTATAAGAGATATACTTATCATCTTGGAAAGCATGCAGTAGAAGATTTTGATTTGGGTGGTAAAACTTTCTACAACTTACCAAGCCTTGCATTTCTGTTTTAACTAACATATTTTCCTGTTTTGTTAACTCTTATGTTATGATTGGCTGGATTCTTGGTTCACAGGGATTTGGTTGCAGTTGATAATTAATACAGTAGGTGTAATTGGTACCTAGTAATAGTGGTTGTACAAAGCAAGTCATGCTTTAAAGATAATAACTGTTTGTATTAGATCACGTTAAGATAGTACTGTTTATTAAGCGTACTATGTATATTATCTTCCTGCAATATGGGCTTCTGTTGTAATGACCACCTTGTATTGCTTTTGAACGTGGTTGCTCTTATGTTGAGAGAAAACATGGTAAAGCTTTTAGTTTTCCTTACAATAAAGTTTGAAGTTGGTTCTTATTGTTTGTTGTTGTTGTTGTTATTTGCATTAAAGGAGTAATTTTAGCTGTGGGCAAATTGAAGGATGAGTAGATCCGCTCTGAAGTTCCTGTGGCCAACAAATCCTTTTACAGTGTCTGTACATTAGACATAGTATACTATTTAAAAGAAAATAATTGAAAAGAAGTGTGTGAAATGCCTGTTGCAATTGTATATATTCAACTTTAAATCACAGTGTATTGCAAATGTGTGAGTAGGGTCTGTTTGGGCTTAAGTGCAAGAACTTGGTAAATGTTGTGGCTCAAGAAATTTTAAATCGTATGTAAATCATACCATTGTTTCCACATTTAAAACTATAGGAATCTCAGTTCAAATTACAAACCAGAAAAAGAATACTTAGACTTGCTTCAGCGAACTTTAAAACTTTTCCAGCTTCTGATAAAAGATGTTTTCTATCATATGTCTTAAATTAACAACAGAAAAGCCACTTTAAAAAGTAGGATGTGTTTTAGCTTTTCTGTTAATATTCATAACACAGGAAGGAAGACAATCTAGAGCAGCTTGATGATGTCTCTGTACTAAATGCTTTAAATTGGGCAAAATGAATAATTTGTAAAAGTGACCCAAATTTGCTTGATTGTTTTCATATGTGGCCATCTTTATATTTGTTATACTACAGAAAGAATTAAATATTGAGACATGGTTTTTTTCAACTTGACGCTCCATTTTTCATTATTATAGCCTCCTTGATCCAAGAACAAATGGTTTTGCACTCACAAATGTAATTTCCAGTATTTTTTTAATTCCATGTAGCATTTTTTTTTCCTTTTTTGATTACTGGTAGTTTAGTAGCTTACTATTTAGAAAGTTACTTATTATAAACACTTTAAAACTGGTGTTTTTGTAAAAGCACTGGCTGACCTGACAGTCTTTTCAATAACAAGATTAAAGGGAGAAGGCAGGAAAGTCAAATAAAAAATACCCAAGAAACTATTCCTTTTGCAAATAATTCTCTCTAACGATTTTACCCAGGTTCACCTTTCCTAGCCAATGAAGATGGTGTTCTTGGAGGTGTGATAGTTCTTCGGTCTTGCAGGTGTTCAGCAGAGCCTGAATCATCGCAGGCAAAGCCAACTTTACTAGGTAAGAAATTAGTATTCATTTTTACTTGAGCTAGGTACTAACTTGAAGGATGAAGTAAAAACTGTCTGTGCATGCATAACATTGGTCAAAGGCCACAGAGAAAACAAAAAGGAATTGAAATCGTTTGAGAAGATTAAACTCCAGGAAGTGAAATAGTAGTATTAACCTTGTCCTCTAAAACTGCGGAAAAGAGCATTCTGACTCGTATTTTTGAGCAGAATTGTGATTCAGAGGGGTGTGGGGGATCCTTCTAAAACTATGGCATAGGAGTAGCATTTCCTTGTGGTGAGACAAGGTATGCTTCTCATGGAAAGAATCTAGGGACCTTATAGCAGCCTTCCAGTACTTAAAGGGAGCTACAGGAGAGATGGGAGGCACTCTTTATCATGAAGTGAAGTGATAGGACGAGGGGTAATGGTAACCCAAAAGAGGGTAGATCTAAATTAGATCTTAGTAAGAAATATTTTCACTGTGAGGGTGGTGAGACACTGGAACAGGTTGCCCAGGGAAGTTGTGGATGCTCCATCCATGGAGGTGTTCAAGACCAGGCTGGATGAGGCTTTGGGCAACCTTGTCTAGCAGAAGGTGTCCCTGCCCATGGCAGGGGGGTTGGAACTCAATGATCTTTAAGGTCCCTTCCAACACAAACAATTCTGTGATTCTATGACATGACTGTTTACTGCTTCTCAATGGTTTATATGCTAAAAATGCTGTCTGTTCCTATTTGTTCCTCCATTTTGCAGGACAAAGTGTGAAAATTTGGAGGATACACTTAAAATTTGGACGGGCAGTTGTTTTATGGTTAGAAATGTTCTGTTGTGCCCAGGAAAATATCTTCAGATAGGTCACAGTTACTATTTCATATGCAGACAACAGAAATATTTGATGTTTATATCGAGATCAGCAGAAAACTGTACTTCTCCCCCATCAGTAGCTGATTGGTTTAAAAGGCTCTGAGCTTTACAGCCCTTCAACTCTGTTTATGTCCTAGAAACAAAATCCTCATCTGTCTCACTGCTTTACAGCAGAACCAAGTGTATTATAGTAAACTGTCATGTGGTTTGTCGTAGAGAAACAGGTAGGAAACCTAACGCTGTGGGCTACTAGCAGAGGTGGGTGGAAATACAACCCAGAGACAGTAAAGCCCATGTTCCTCTTTAAGGGCAGGGATTTGGAACTGGGGACATATGAATTACTTCAGCATGACACTTCTACCATCTCCTTTCCTGCGGTGCTCCTCAGATGAGGGCATGTGTGTCTGGTCATGCTATGTGTCTATGTATTGGGTCACATGGACCTGTCTAATATATATTTACGTTATGCTACCAGAATTAAAGTTTTTTTTTTCTTTGTATAGTCCTCTGCTTTATTATTGTTTCCCCAAGTGTTTCATGAATTGCTGTCAGTGGCATTACAGATTTGAAGTAGCTTTCGTATCTTTTAAGATGTGAAATGACAAATTTGATCACCTAATATAACTTTTAAGGCAGGTCATAGCATCTCACCTGGTAGTTCTTGAATTGCATAATTTCTTTTTAATCTATATGCTATTGTTTAGAAAGACACCTCACCTTTGTTTTAGTTCATTACTGCTTTTGTTCCACTAAATCCTAACATTGTGTCACCAGAGTTTGCCTGCTTACAGCCACCCTGGAGTGGCAGGCGGAGCGTGTGCTAAAGGTGAGCCAGCAGATATATTCTTAATGAAGGGTTAAGCCACACAAACTCCCGTATTTATTGCTGTCTATTCAGTGACTTCCAGGATGTCGGGGTCAAGTTATTACAGTTGCACAGGATGAGGTGTATGTTATCTTTCAGTTTTGTTCTTGTATTACATTTTGCTGGTTTGCATTATGGGAATCTTTAAGTAACATGTACTACTTTTTCTGTGTTGGTCAACTTGAGTGATCCTATCCCCCCTCCAGCCATTCACTCTTCAGAAGTACTTTTGATCAATACAGTTAATAACGTTCATGTTTCTCTACCCAAGAGTTGAAGTTCATGTGTGTTTCATGTTTTTTGTCAACATCTTATCCATAAGAGTTTCATGTTTACTTTGCTGTTACAAAGAACCAGAGATTTGGGAGGTGAATCCTTACAATCCTGATGGACAAAAAAGGAATTTTGGAAGGTTTGGATGGGAAAAGGTTTAGAAATAGCTTTTGGATGTTGTGTTTTTTGGAGTTATTACTTGAATAGCTTATCTTTTTGAAGAAGTAGACTCTTAAATAGACTTTGACAATCATCTTACTCTTTGTCTTTCAACTATTTGTAAGCCAAGACTGTCTAATCCTGACTCCAGAATCAGGGTGTGGGTTGCAAAACAGAGAATGTTGCAGGTTTGATTTACAGTTTTCAGATTTAAGAATGGAATAATTGTGACATTATAGATCTAATGGAAAAGCATCCTGCAACATAAATTCTGTCCCTAAAAAGGAGGTAAGAAAATGAAAATACAAGTTTGATTGAAAGAGAACAAACAAGATCAATGTAACCTTTAATTTCTTATGTTTGGAAGTAGGATAAATATTTCTACTCATTTAATGTTTGTCATTCATGTAAGAAAGCATGTTCCTATTGATGAAGATTTGGTATTTTTTCCTCAAAAAATAATAAAGAAAATCCCCATATTTTATACTTCATAAGCAAACACTATTAGTCCATTAATTTTTGGGGTTTTTTTCAACTGAAATAAGATTCATATACACAGCTTATTCTAAAGATATTTTTTCTTGTACCATGTAAGTTTCATGCCTTATAGTGTATGCTGAGTTAATGTATAATTAAATGTATGTAGTATTTGTGTTGTTTAGATTGAAGGTAAGTTGTGTAGTACTGAAGAACTCAGTGTATAGAGTAACAAAATCTCACGTCTTTATTACAGGGATTATTTTTTTTGTTATTTTTTGTAACTATTGAAACAAATTGCAAGAGACTTATTAAATGGTTGAAAATATATGAAACATCTTCAGATTAGTATGTAATTTAGGATTTGCATTGTAATTCCAGTACTTGTAACAGCTAGAAATAACCAAGTCTTATGCTAGTACATGCTACCTTTGGTAGACGGTGTAGAAAGAAAAAAATAATAAAAACTTAAAAGAATAGTACTGGAGTTACCAAAGGCAAAGAAATAATTTCTGAGGGTATTTGGCCTGAACTGGTGACCAAGTTCTGAAAACTGAAAGATAAGATTAAATTTGTCTCCAAAAAATAAATGCCTTCACTGACAGTTGAACCTTTAGGGTGTTAGGGAGGGGTTGTCCTCATTGAACACAGTTACATTGCATTAAATATGTTTCACTCTCTGAAAGCTTTTGATTAACCTTTGGCGATATCTGTCATGAATCTATTACGGGGGAGCAAAGTGCATATCTTAAATGAAGTTCATTTTTCTTTTATGATGATATCTACATATCTGTCAGAATCTTCAAGTCTTGCTGGGATTGTCTCAACTTTGATCTTCTGCTCCAGGTTAATTGCTATGCCAGGATAAATGGTTCAAAGGATAAGCATACTCAGCATGCTGTGACCTTCGTCGACCATATTAAAGGAGTGTGAAGGATAAAAATTAATAGAAGTTTTGAAACCATCTAATGGTGCTTTTTGCAGCATATGAAATTCTCTCGCAAATGAAATATTTGAAAATAGCTTTTCATGGCATCTTGTATAATTCATGCAATTTTTTTAAATTCTAGAGTTTTCTGTGAAACATCCTGAATTCCAGTCAGCAACCCTTTCCCTTTCCAAATTATGTACTTAATAAACACAAAGAAAAATAGCTGTGATACAGAGCAGGAAGAATACAGTGTGGCAATTTGTAATGCTCAACTGGATAGGAGCTAAGTATATGAATAATGTGCTCTTTTTCTGAATTTTGTGTTGCAGCTGAGTAGGGGAGGTGTGTGTATATGTAAAGATACCTGTGTGTGTATCAGGGAATTAAAGATCACTGTAATGGGCTGTTTAATGATTGAGAAATTGGGCCACTTTGAAACTTCAGAACAATACCTTACTGGTTAACATGTATTAACAATACACATTAGTGGTTAGTTTTCTTAATCATTATCAGTACAAACACAACAGTTGATCTTTAATATTTATATCCTAAATTATCTGCGAGTATACAGTACCTGAGAGCTGGTGCTGTATAGCTAGTGCTAGAAGTCAAGGTGATCAGACCTGAGAGTTCTTTGATGACAGAATAGAATCATAGAATCATTCAGGTTGGAAAAGATAATGAAGTCAAGTCAACCGTTAACCTAGCACTGCCTATTTTTTTTTCAGGTCCCTAAGCACCACATCTATGCATCTTTTAAATACTTCCAGGGACAATGACTCAACCACTTCCCTGGGCAGCCTGTTCCAATGCTTGACAGCCCTTTTGGTGAAGAAATTTTTTCCCAATGTCCAATCTAAACCTTCCCTGGCACGACTTGGGGCCATTTGCTATTGTCCTATTGCTTGTCACTTCGGAGAAGAGACAGACACCCACCTCACTACAACCTCCTTTCAGGTAGTTGTAGAGAGTGATAAGGTCTCCCCGCAGCTTCCTTTCCTCCAGACTAAACGTCCCCAGTTCCCTCAGCTGCTCCTCGTAAGACTTCTCCTCTAGACCCTTCACTAGCTTCATTGCTCTTCTTTGGACATGCTCTAGCACTTTGATGTCTTTCTTGTAGTGAGGGGCCCAAAACAGAATGCAATATTTGAGGTGTGGCGTCATCAGTGCCTAGTACAGGGGGAAGATCACTTCCCTACTCCTTCTGGCCATGCTATTTCTGATACAAGCCATTCAGCATACTTTTGGAACTTTTGGTCTTGCTCTAATTTTTCCAGGCATCTTCCTTGCTTATTGTGCAGTGTTATTTTGCTTCCACCAGACATCTCTCCTGCTTTTTCTGTGGTATTATTGTGCTTTCACCAGATGTCTTTCCTGCCTGCTCCGTATCTTTGGTTCTCATCTTGCAGACTTTACTGCTTCTGTATGTTTTCCTGTATTCTGCTTGAACAGCTAAACCACAAATCTCTATTTACCCATTGGTAGTTACATATTATATGTATGTTTACACTCCCTTATGTGAAAAAATGCTTGTTTCTGGTTATTCTGTTGATAGTGTTACAATTCTACAGAATCCTTATACACCATTGGGGTTTATGCTATTGTCTGGGTACTAGTTCTGCAGCGTGTGACTGCAAATAGTGCAGGAAAGTCTTGTTGCTCAATAGCTCTTTCTTTTGAGATTGAATTGTTCTGGTAAGTAGTTTTTGTTCTTTAGTTGTTTTTTTTTTTGTCCTTTCACAAACTATATTTTAAGCTTTATTTGTTTCTCAAGATTGCAATCTTGTTAAATTACATCTTATATTTTAAACCAATGCGTTTTTTGTGACTTCTTGCATTTTCCTTTATAGTGGAATTTCTGTGGAGCCATACAACAGAGAGCATGTGTGTAGGATATATGTCTGCACAGGATGGCAAAGCTAAGGTAAGCCGTGAAGAATAGGTTGTGATACAGTAGAATGAGTGTAGAAACTAAAGAGAATATGAAATAATGATGATGAAATATATAAGAAATTTCTATCATTAAGAGAACAGAAAAAGCAATGGGTGCATAAGCAGTCAAAATGTATCTTTTGATTGAGCATGTTTTTTAATTGCAGCAGTTAACAAGCCTACATGCAGCAGTTAGCAAACCTACAGTAACGTATGTATTATGTCAGGAAAAGGTGCCACAAACACATCTCCGTTTCCTTTTCTGAGAGTAATTGTCTTTGAATAGCTTTAGCTTGATTACTGGCTACACTGGCTGCTTAGGGTGGTACAGTATTTTTCTATGGGCATGTTTTCCTTCAGAGGAAGCATTTGCACCAAGAAAGAAGGGAGATGGGTATAAAACAAACTTTGAGTTGGTACCTAGAATAGCCCCTATGGTAAACAATTTGGATATTAACATCCATGGTTCTTTTAGTTTCTTGGGGTCTAATTATATCTTTTTTTTTCCTGGAATGAGAGAAATAATATGTTAGAACTGAGTTTAGCATTGGAAACCGGAAAAATCCTTAACATCAAATAGGAGGGATTAGCCAAGAGGATGAGAGCCATTTACTCTTAGGAATACAGCACTGAAAGGAGAAAAAAGCAGGTTTTGAAATGTATCAACTAGAGCATTTAGGAGGGATATTTGGACAATGAGAATGAACATGGGAGAAGATGCAAGCACAGACAAAATCGTAATTTCTGTAGACATTTATAGATGTACAGCCATCGGTATTCAAGACTAAGAGTGAATAATCAGAACTAGATAAAGGAAGTGACAAAAGTGGGGGGAAAAGCTAGAATAAGAAGGCTCCCTGATATGATTAAACTAACAGGGGAGGCAGGGGTGTTTTCTGGTATATTTGCATGTATTAGAGGAAGAGATGACAGCTAGGAAGTTTATACCAGCAGACAACAGCAAGAAAGGCATCCAGCATTTTGGTGGCAGAATTTAAAGAAGGATTAATTTGAAAGCCTGGAAAAGGAAGGAATTTGAGGGCCTAGATTTGTTGCCTTTCTCCAGAAGTGGCTGCTTGTGGATCTTCTGAAAAAGAAAGTTTAGTTGTCAGCAGTGGAGGGGAAAGGATTACAAAAGCCGGATCTTTCTCTCTTCTTTTCATTTTTTTTCCTTTCTCTTTTCCCCCTTCTATTTCATTTGAGACACAAATACAAAGGAGGATCTGAGTAAGATAACAGAAGAACATACAAAATAAGGAAGTTGACATCAGATATTTTAAACAGCAAGAATGGTGTAACATGCTGGTTGAAAAATTGGGAATGAGTGAATTCATCCTCAAGGAGTAAAATATATGTTAAAAAAAAAAAAAGACAAGAATGCAACAGAAGGATGAGGAAGATAAAAAGCAGCTGGTGAAGGAAGTGCTGGTAGAGGTGTTATTGAAGTACTCGCTTTCATGGCTTGTGTAGAGTTCTTTCCAGTTGATTATCTGTGGAACAGAGTGGTTTTAATTGTTTTCTTAGTATTTATTTTAGATTTATTAGAATCCAAACTCAAGCTAAAAGCTCAGACTGAACTGAGTGAAGCTAGAGCAAGCTCAGTTGCAGATGTTCTAGTATTTGCTAGTTTAAAAGTCATTATATTGTGTTCACAGTGAAATAAGGAGAATTATTAGAAAGCATAATGTTAAATTATTACAGTGTGCACACCTGCCTCTGGCTTACATCACAAGCTCAAAAGCTGTTTCTAAGGAAATATTATTGTTTCTTCCTAGTAGTGTCTGTCTAATTAATAAATAAGAGCTAAATGTGAAATCTGTCTGGTAATGAGTACTAGCATGACAGTGCCATGCCCAGAGATGTTTTCCTACTCACAGTTGCAACATTTGACATCTGGTGTGCATTGTTTTCATACTGCTGGTGAATTCTCCAGCTGGTAATCTTGATTGCGCTGACAGACACAGCTGCTCTTCTTGATTCACTTTTAAATTATGTTTTTGACCTTCATTGAAGAGTTAATCCCCCTCCCTTTCTTCCTCCTTTGAGTCTGTGGCTACAAATGCTTTCCAGAGAAAAACCGCAAATGCTTTTGCTGCTGCCTTGTATTGATCAAAAAAAGTCTTCTGTCATAAAAGCTGGAATTTTATTCTGCTACAACTAGGGCTAAGTTATAGATGGAAAACTGGGCTTGAAATAGAACACAATGCATTGCAAGTGAAAAAAAAACAAATACCCTTTCTTTGATAGAGTAACTGTTATGGTACAATTAATTTTGAGTGCTTGCCATGGAAGAATAATGGTATAAGAATTCATAAAAGTATAAAATATCACTTGTTTGTGAGTACCACAGGAAAATGATCAGGCAGTGGCTTTTAGGGGAAAATCTTGCTTTCCTGTTTTTCTAGGGTGGTAAAGAGCTTCAGTTTTTATTTCTTTCATCAATCTAAGACTCAAGTTTTATTCTTAATCCAGGAGGTTGTCACGGTGGCTGATTTTGCGCTGGTTCAATTTAATTAACATGAAAACATATTTTTATAACAAGACTTGTAGAAAGTGAGAAGGTTTTTAAGTGTCTACTGTTATGAATTAGACTAATATTAGAATAATAATTATATAAAGGGGTATATACTAAGGAAAAAAAGGATCCAGCTTCACGATCTTAGTGTGATTCTTTATGAATGGAAGGTTAATACATTTCATAATAGGACCTAGCAAATGGTGGTTCCAAACCCTAGACAAAGATTGTGGAGATATAGGAGGCCTCTCTTTACAAGGCAAACACACATTTATGAGCTAGATACCAGTCACATGCAGACACTGGTACGCTCGAGAGGTGGAAACGTACTCAACCAGTTAACGATCAGCAACTCCTTAAAAGAACAGTGAGACAGGAGAGTGGGATCCGAGACTTGTAGTTTGTACATCCTGACCTGCCCGCGCTTCTGGCATTTAGCACTGTGAGCTCTCCAAGTACTGATTTAGAAGTATCCTTGCAACGGGAGTTTATTTCCTCTCGATTTAGAAAAGATTGGGTTCTGCAGCCAGCCACTCACCTCCAAACGAGACTGCATGAATGCTAGCTTGCTGAATGTATAAAATGGCTGAGCCTGGAAGAGCTGTGAAGTAATTTTGCCCTGTGACTAATAATTATTTGATTTAAAGCATACTTGCTGGAAAGGTGTCTGGTCTTTTTTTGGAAAACCAGTTGCCTGGAAAAGTCACAGTTTCTTGTTGGTTTAAAATGTTTGTTTGAACGTTACTTTAAAAATACTGTGGAGGCTTGCCAGAGGAACTAAGTTCACACCTTATTGCTGACACAGTCATCTCTGGTTGGATATCCTAGTACTTGCCTTGAGTTCTCTCTCAACACTGGAAGTATTTCAGCTCCTCCACCACTGATAGCACTGTCAATGTTATCTTCACTACCTGCGTAGTGGGTATCTCATTCACTTCCCTCTGATTCTTATGCCCTTGAACCCTTACATCACTGCCACAAGCAGCTGGTCAAAGCATATGCTTGCTGGTTCAACTGTGCTCTTCTGTGTTTCTTGTCATCGCTCTTGACACGAGCAGTTTCATGACTCAGTGCCAGTGTTTGTCACAGACTGGATGTTGGAAAGAAACAAAATTTTTGTCTGAACAGCTTTTACTTCTTTATATACTTCTTGGAACTAACCTATACCACCTATTGCTACAACTTACCCAGGCTGGTGCCTGGGAACCTTGACTATGATGAACTTAAGGGACAGATAGATTCTGTTTTAGAAGTTGCAAGTTACAGACTTCCTTCCTGATGCAATATCATGATAGATTGTTTCAACATTAGGGGAGATGAATGGACTTCCTGAGAACTCCTGAAGCAAGTTCCTTCATTGCCATTTATATGATGGTAGAGTTGTCACATAAGCTGACACTCAACTATTTCTAGCCATTAGTGAGACTGTTTGAATAAGCTAGGCTGCTGTGTAAGTTTCTGGACACAGCCATGGGAATAGATAGAAAATATTACTGTGGACTTCCTCTCCACTTACCCAGCTCCTTTGGTAGCAATAACTGCTGCATCAGCAAAGCTTAAGACTTCTAGACTGAGGGACTGGGAGGTTAAGTATCTTCATGAACTGAGGAGGTATGTTTATTCCTTTTTTGTTATTTTGATATTGGCTGATGAATTACTTGATATGAATTCAAGATCTTTGATAAGCAGTTAGCTCTTTTAGATTTCTTGCCCAAACTTTCTTCTCTTTCTGAGACACTAATTTTCAGAATAACCTTCCAGATATGTTATTATGGATCCATAATAGATCCAACAGTTGATCATAGCATCAGCTAAGGAGGTCATCCTGTTACTGGAGCTCTGACTGCTTTAAAGATACTCTGTCAGTTTTCAATTAATCAGTTCCATTTTTCCTGAACTGATTAGGTTACATTCTGAGAACTTAAGCAATTGTGTTGTCACCATTGGGAAAACAGCTGTATTCTGATTACTACAGTGTTGCTTCTTGGAGTTTTGTCCATATTGTTGCAGGAGATTTGACGTCTTAATGGAATCATAGAATCATAGAATGATTAGGGTAGGAAAGGACCTTAAAGATCATCAAGCTCCAACCCCCCTGCCATGGGCAAGGACACCCTCCGCTAGACCAGGTTGCTCAAAGCCTCATCTAACCTGGACTTGAACACTTCAAGGGATGGGGCATCCACAGCTTCCCTGGGCAACCTGTTCCAGTGCCTCACCACCCTCACAGTGAAACATTTCTTCCTAATATCTAGTCTAAATCTACCCTCTTTCAGCTTATAACCATTACTCCTTGTCCTGTCACTGAAATAGTTGGTGTAGCATTTGTTAGAGCAGTTTAAGTGTCAGTTTGCATGAAGGGCTTTGAGACCTCCTGACATATAATTTGGGAGGGGGAGAAATAACTCCTTGAATTCACCCGTAATATAATTTTAGATGTAGAGAACAGGAAGGAAAAGAGATTAGTGGATAGGTTA